AGGGAAAGATGTCCCTGCCCACAGCACATCCCTTGCAACCCAAACCATTTGATGATTCTAATGGAGAACACATGATCAAAATGCAAAAAGCAGCCTGAATATCTGTAAATGGGTGGTAATTTCTATCTGTGAAGACTAATTTCCTTTTCTCAATTGCAGACTTCAGTTATATTTGACATCAAGCTAAAAGGAGACTTTGATGGGTCTACTACCATCCATCAGTTTGTACTTCCACCTCGATCAATACAACCCTATCAAATACCTGTAGCAGGTAAAGTACTATATAATAAATATCCTAACACTGTTACCAAGGTTATCCAAATGTAACAGCTGGCAAACAAGAGTGCTTCAGTTTTTAGGATGCTGGTTACTAACATTTCTGTTATATTTAAGAGAGTGAGGGAGGGAAGGAGGGTGAGAAGGAATGGAGTGTAAGTTTGTTGTGCCTACTGTGGAAGAGTAAGAGTTGCTGTTTAAGGTACATACTTCCCATAATATTTTGCTTTTACAACTTCAAAGTTGTTTTTTTTTTTTTTTCCTTTCTTGGCCACAGCTATAAAAACTTGTATAAAGGCTTGTGTGTGTACTCAAAAGCACTTTGTGCTTTTCTGGCTTAAGTCATGACTATTTAACTTCCTAAGTCGCATAAAGAGGCTGAAAGACAATCCAAGCTTAGAATAAAGTTTAGAACCAGTTTAGAAGCAATGCTAAGATTAATGTTAAGACTTCAACACTTAGATTCTTCTTGGATTATTTTTCTGTTCTCCTGTCCTAGAAGTGTAGCAGATAATGACCCTTAAGCTGGAAGTAGCTAGGAATAGTCTGAGGATAATTCCACTAGCAAATGGCAAAGCAGTGTGAGTCTCTTCATAGAAGAGAAAGATGCTTTTATAGGAATGATTGGAGCTTAAAAGCTCTTTAACATCTGAATGTTGAAGTCACTAAGAGCAAGTGTGACTGATAAATCTGCAGGAGGTGGTTTGTATTAAACAAAGGTTAGGATCAGAAAGTACAAACCAGTCTGCCTCTTTAAGAAACTAAAGTGATTACATATAAATACAGTAAATAGAGTCTGTGTATTTAGGATTACAGTACTAGAGATGGAATACTTCTGCATGCATGACTTCACTCGGCTGAAAACAAAACAACTGTGTTTTGAAGCAGTTGTTTGCCTTCTCAGTGTCAGATTTTCTTTGTAGATGATCTGGCTACACAAATGGGTATATCTTTTGTGCCTGCATGCTGTAGGACTGCTAGATGTGTTACAATCCATACTTACCTTTTCAGTGAACTTGTAGATTGTATTTTGTTAGCGTACTACTATTCTTCACTTGACGTTAATTTTTTGGCAGGTCCAGCCTCTGTGACGAGTCAGTCTCCTGTTCCATGTAAACTATGTATCCTTTAAATACTTTAAAAATGCAAGAGTCTTACTGAAGCCTCATTCTGTGTACCAAGCATGGAAGCAGCTAACATGTCTTACTTTGACCTGTTAAGTCCAGCTTTAGGTGATTATGCATGTTGACTTCAAGACAAAATAATATGCTTCATGAGAGACTGTAATGCTTTCACATGAGGTCTAAGGAGTATAATACAATACCACCTTTTTTGGTCATTTGAGATGCATGTAATAAAATTACTGAATGGGTACACACTATGGAGTTGAAGCTACAATTCCAAGAATAAGGTTTAAGACCTTACAAGAAAAGGTGACAGTAAATGAAAGTGTGTGAATGGGTTCTGCTTCACTTCAGTAATGTGACTGTAGCAGCAACAGTTTAGAATCAATGTTAACGTGGACGTTGGAACTTTAACATTTAGATTCTTCTTCTTGGATTGTCTTTCAACCGGATATCATCATTAGTGCAAGCGAAGGTAAGCGGTGAGCTGTCTGACTCTGCTACACTCGGTGTCGAAGGGTGGCCAGTTTATAGCTCCAGTGCACAACGCAGCGTAAAACACAGGGACTAGGCAGGTGTACTTAGTAAGATGATTACCCTTGGTAGTGATAATGGAGGATGACCGTATCTTTGCTACAAGTTTTCAGTTGCTGCTCAAAACATAGACTTAGGAAGGCATATAAATCATCATCTAGATGTGTTCTCATTTAAAAGGTTGGAAAAGTTGGATGTCTAGGCTGTACTCTATAAGGCAATTCACTTTTCGTTTTACTCCTTCAAATCAAGGCTACCTCTGGAGTCTCCAAGTGAAACTTGAACCTGTAGTTGACCTCTTGCTAGATAAAGGAAAACTAATGGATTTCCTTCTCCAAAGGAAAGAATGCAAGATGGTTATCCTATCTGTATGCTCTCAAAGTAAGTTCACATGCTTTGTCTGTCTCTTGAAAGTACAATACTTCTTATTCATAAATACTCACAGAAGTTAGCTGGGCTGTTCTTAGATTTGAGACCACCTCCGAAGCTAGCTTGGTCCTGTAAGATGTCATTTGCCTAGACTTACCCTCAGTCACCATTCTAAAGGAATTATTTAACAGCATGAAAGAATTCAACTCCCCTCCTCCCCATCATTTAGTTAAAATACATCTGACATGACTGAAAGCATTTCTTTGAAGTTTAGAATCAAGTTTAGCGTAGAGATCACCTTTTGAAAAAGGCAACATTAAAGCCCCTGGTTATTTTTCCTCATGGTTTTTTTCTTTTTATCCTTTTCAGTGCTCAGCGAGCCAGAAAGGGGATCACTGTCTGTGATTGCAACTGTCTTTGACAAACTGAATCATGAATATAAGAAGTACTTGGAAGCTGAGCAAAGCTATGCTATGGTAAACCGTGTTAGCTACAGCAGCTTACAGAGATAGGATGATGCTATTTGCATTTCAGGTTGCATCATGGTGAAGGCTTGCTCTTTTCAGGCCTACCCCAAGGTCCTGGCTGCCTCAGGCTCACAGAGCACCAGGACCCCCACTTAGCACTGTTGTGGCAGATGCCGCACAGCTCGTTTCCAGCATGACAAGTAACGTACCCCAGTGCCTGAAAGCAGAAAGGGTAGAAGCTCAAAAAGCAACTTGGATTATGTAACTATCAAAACCGCTTCCAAACCACTGATCACGTGGCACGCTACACCGCTGCACACGTACGGCCCCGCTGCATCTCGGCATTACTTCTGTTAAAACACCAAGTTCAAGTGCTAACTCGCATAGTACAGCCACATACTAGAAGTCCTGCTACAGCTGAGGGCCTGTGTCAACATAGTAAGTTTGATTCCTCTTCTGGCTTGGAGGCATACAATAGCAGCTACATTTATATGACTTCTAAAAGCAGTTTTAAATTAAGACGAAAGCCCACACTCAACAGAACATGACCACAGATGTGGATTTGCTCAGTAACAAAACATGTTTCTAATTACATTGCCAGTGGAAAACAGTCTCTGTACAGATGAGACAGACTAAGACTGTGCTACGCCACTAGAGTTTCCTCTCAAAAAGGCTTTCTTCTTGCAGGTGGTAGAGGCAGGCCTGAGTAGAAGTAATCCCCTCCTGAAACGTCCAGTCCGCACTCAAGCAGTTATTGACCAGTCTGACATGTACACACACGTTTTATCTGTATTCACAGAGAAGAAGGTAAGTTAATTTTAAGTGCTAGTTTGGCAGCAGTCTCAGAGCAGCAAACCTGGCTGCTTGAAATAGCCTGCAGAAGGCTTTGTTTTTGAGATACGGGTATTTTGATACCCATTCTTAGACGGTTGTCATTAATAGGGGAATCTACACAAGTTCCACCTAACACTTTTTTCTTGTCCAGGAAGCACCTCATAAGTTCACTATAGCAGTCTTGATGGAATACATTCGCTCCCTTAACCAGTTCCAGATTGCAGTTCAGGTAAAGTACTTATGTGCCAAGCGTAGCGCTTTGCTCCATGATACTACGTGGAGTTTCTGACCAGTCTTGGTCATGTGTCTAAGCCCGATACAATACTACCTTCTAGTCTGTAAGCACTGGTATTGAGACATACCTTTGATGGTCTTCTCCCTGCCTTCACAGCACTACTTATATGAGCTGGTCATCAAAACCCTTGTTCAACACAACTTGTTCTACATGCTCCACCAGTTTCTGCAGTACCATGTGCTCAGTGACTCAAAGCCCTTGGTATGTAAGACAAATTGCTTCCATAAGCTAATGATGGAGGTGGGAAGTCTTCAGAATCTTAAAAGGTCGTTTCTGCTTTTGCCCTAGGCTTGTCTGTTACTGTCCCTGGAAAGCATTTACCCTCCCGCACATCAGCTCTCTCTGGACATGTTAAAAGTAAGCATTTCAGACTCTAGTAACTCCGTGTCACGTGTGGGTTAGACTTGTCAAACAGCTTACATGACCAAGCTTGAAGTGACTAGCTAGCATCTCAGTCGTTTGTTAGAAGCATAGTCTTACAGCTGTGATTGACTTCACAGAGACTTTCCACAGCAAACGATGAAATAGTGGAAGTTCTGTTGTCCAAACACCAAGTCTTGGCTGCCTTGAGATTCATCAGGGGTATTGGAGGACATGACAGCATTTCAGCCCGCAAATTCCTTGATGCAGCAAAACAAGCAGAAGATGACATGCTTTTCTATACTATATTCAGATTCTTTGAACAAAGAAATCAGCGGTTACGAGGAAACCCGAGTTTCACACCAGGTAAGCAATGAGCAGTTAGACCAAGACACTCAGTTGTGCAAACAGAACTAAGACTTCACTTCCACTCCAGCTGAGTCCATATTACCAGAGAAAACTCTTGGTGCATTCTAGCCTGTATTTTAGACTTACCTTTAGGCATAGTTCCAAAGTTAACTTGTCTTACCTCTTGGTATACCACACCCAGGAGCAAAGAGACCAAGCCAAACAGGAACGTGCAGATTAAGCTAACCTGTTTGGGTTGCAGTTGCTTGCACCGCTTCATTTGGCAAAGCCATTATCTCCAATTAATGCTTTCTCCTGAAGTCAGGAACTGGGTCAGGAAACCCTGAAGTTCAGTTGTCTGTTTCCACAGAATAAAAAAAAAATTCAAGACCTGTTTTACACTACAGTTCCTCTCACTTTGAAAATCAAGCTAAACTGCACTGGCAATGTGTTCTTAGTCACCAGTTGGTCTATAGGCACAGAATCCCGCTCCAAGATCTTGTACTTTACAGCAAAGAACTCTCATGGATGTGAATCCGCTGGTTAGGTACGGGTGCTAGATCACACATCTGCTTCACCACAGGAATGTGGTGTCACAGGAGTGGAGATACCTCAGTACTCCACTGCCTTAAAATTGTTAAACTCCTTTAATGCCTTCGAGTAAAGACAAGAATTGGTACTTACAAATTGAGGTAAGTAAGTGAAGCTGCACAATCTTGCTGCTCGGTTTCTGAGTTTTAAAAGTTAATGTAACTTTTATTTTGCTTCCCCCCCCCCCGCCCCAGGTGAGCACTGTGAAGAACACGTCACCTTCTTCAAACAAGTTTTTGGAGAACAAGCTCTCATGAAGCCCACAACATTCTGAAAGACTCTTCCACTGAAATGTATAAACTTAATTTATTGCATTTAAGTAGATTTTTGAACTACAAAATTGCTATTTTATAATAAAGTATATACAAGACATTTTGGCAAATAGTACTAAAAATATTACAACCTGTGATGGCTTCCCCCTAAAAATAGAGACAAAAGTTGCATTGACCTGCATTTAAAATTAGTGTCAGTGGTTTAGCAGTCCATTCTCATACACATGTCACCTCAGTTTCATTGACAGAAAAGCTACTCAACTCGCAAAACAGCTGGTTTAGGCTTCTAGAAGAAAAAGATGCAACCTCTTGAAAACAGAAGTGTTTTAGTAATCTTATTAACACATCTAAGTTTTAGTAATACTGTTACATGAGCCACATGTAGCACTTCCTGAGTTTAAAGCTACATCCAAAGCTGCAGCTGATCTCTTCTAGTTGAATCTGTGCGGGAGTCAAGTCAGTGGTGGTTACAGTGTGATAGTCATAGAACATTGCTGCACTTCAGTTCTTCAGAAGAGTTGGGCCTAAGCCACAGTTCATGGAGTCCACTGAACACTGTTAAAAACTAGAAGTAGAGGAGTCTCTCCCGTTCTGTACCTCTGGTCCTCTCTTGCACAGCACGAGTTTTAGCTTTATTTACTGATGGACCTGAGAGAGAGAAAACAGAGTCATTCCAAAGTCTCAACATTACCGCAGATCAGTCAGTCCTCAAGAAGGACACGTGACCTTACTTAACTGTCTCAGTCCAGCTTAACACTGGTGAGACTTCAGAAATGTGCTCCTGCTCAGCTGTTGGTAGTGGTCAGCGGCAGCCAGGGGAGTAGGTGAATCCCCATCAGCCTTAACCCCCTTAAGTATAGCTCAGTTAAAGTCTGCTTTTGAGAACCACACCATAGGCATGAATTTCCCGATTCAAGAGGACGGTGTTTGGACTGTCCTTACTGCAAAGCGAGATCGCTTCTGCAAACGTAGGAACGCTGCCCCACAGCAGGTTTGTTGCGTCACCGACTGCCCTGTCCCCAGGTTCAGAGACCTTGCTCATGCTGCTGTCTGTTGGGCCATGCAGGCCCAGGCAGCCACCTCCACAAAGAACAGCACAGCGCAACCCCAGGGCAGGCTGTGGTTGCTTCAGCTGATCGTGCCTGTAACGGTGAGCTCACAGTGTGCCAGTCAGCCCTTGCTTTCCAACAGACCTGCTACTTGAATGACGGAGGGGGACGCTCAGCTACCGCTTTTTATCCTCACAGTCCTTCCTGTGCAATGGGAAGGAAGCACCCGCAGGTAGCCAGCTGTTTTTGTGGGAAGTGCGTTTTAGAGGAGGCTGTCACGTCTTACCTATGTAACTAAGTAGAACTGGAAGAAATATTAGCCCATGTGTTGCTCCCAGCAGAACCATAGCTAGATACATCCTGAAGTAGAATATCTTGAAGATTTGAGATTTGGAAAAAGCCAGTACTACAATTCCTCCAAATTTGGTCAGTGTAATACCACTGAAAACCTGTCAGTAAAAAAAGTGGGTTTAAGTTAAAAGTAGAGCTTTATGTAATCCGTTTACTTTAAGTATTCAACATTTGCTAAAATTCTTAGGCAATTTGAGGCTCCTGTATGCAGTATACCTCCCTACCTGTTAGTCCTTAGAACCAAATCCAAGACCTGCTTGGGAGAACAGTTCAACTTCTTGGTCCTGCTAGAAACCCGACACCACAGGCCAGGCTCAGTATGATTAGAAATCCACTCTAGTCTGTAGAGCCACCTGGTTTCAGTTGAATTTTTACTTCAGGCAGATAACAGATGAAAGCTGTTACTGAAGTAACTTGCATTTCAGTGAAGTTCCTTACCTGGGTCCAGTGCATGTATCACCAGAAGTCTATTCCAACCCCATCCAGGTGGCTTATCTTAATCTAACAGTATTGCCTAAATACTGAGCCCTGCTTGCATTCCCAAAGGTTCAATTGCATCCCATATCTAGAACAACCTTTCCTAGTCACCTCTGAGTATTTGGAAGAGAGAAGCACTTAACCAGACAATTCAAGGCTAATCAACTAGTTCATTCAAGGCTAACTTCCAGTTCAGCTAAAGCTGGATCTGTGATTCTGTGTTCTCTACTATTAGGTAGTAGTAACATCAGACTAAAAATTGAGTCTTGATCACCCCTATTACCAGTGGAAGCCTACGTTGACCTCCTAAGTTTTAATCAGGTACTCCAAAAAGAAAAAGCAAGGCCATCCTTACGACTTAAGGATAGTGGCAAAGCCTGTAAAATTGTCACTTGCCTACTCGATTTCCCCCTGTACAGCAGATACTTACTGAACTGCCCATGTGAGACAGAGCTTCTTCTGCACGCTCTACTCTGCTGCCCTTCGTACTAACAGTGAACGCTCTTGTCACGTGACTGCAGAATTCCACAGCGATACCACAACTCTAGAGAGCGAAAAGAAACGTACATGAAAATACCACTCAGATGAGCGCTTTGATGATAAGGTCTCTACCCAGAGCACTAGACAGGCTGGAGAGGTTCTAGCAGCTGAGTTCAGCTCCCAGGGTTAAAGTATTGTTGGAAGTTACAAGCTGTGCTTGGTTACTAGAGGCTGCTACAGGCACTGTATGGCATTTTCCCCCCAGCCATTACTAATGGATGATTAATCTGATTAAACAGGAATCAGAACGTGAGATTGCTTTGGAGGACAAAAGTCTCTTGATGTTGAAGAAAGCTGGCTTCAAGACAGCAGTGTGCAGTAACCACCAAATGCTAAAAATCACTTTGCTGATACTAGCTGCAGTAGTGCTGCTTTAGAGTAACACTGAGTATATCTGCTGATTTGATACCATAAAAGTTCAGCTGAGTTTAACACTTAAATCTGAAAAACAAGCTGTTTAGATAGTCATTTACAACACCGATTGAACAGTTGGCAAGTCTTAGACTTTTCTAGCAGGTAGACTTGCATGAACATTATGCCTAGTTGTAACATGGGGCAACAGTTTACTCTCTCGTGATTTTCTCAGATCTGCAATACATCTCTAGAGAGCAAGGGAAGCCAGAGCTCCAGCACTCTGCTATTTGTTACTAAGTTCTGGAGTGTTTCACCAAGGCACGCTCTGCCCAAGTGGTTTTACCCTTTTATGCAGGAATGATACTGGTGCTAGCACGTCACAGGTCTACTCTGTGGAACGTAAATACAGCAGAAGCCTTAATGCTAGCCTACATATCCTTACCTTAAGCATGAGCAGCCTCTGCAGATGTGCAACAGCACCTAGCCTGTAGAGCAGCAATACAACTTGCTGCAGAGCAGAAAAGACCACCACCAGATGCAGTATAGCTTACAGTTCAATTGCTGTATCTTACCAGTACTGGGACTAGTTGTCAAAATAAACCTGTTTTCTACACACCACCTAGATGTATTAAGATCCTTCCACTACTGTTCAAATGCCTGTCAAAGTTTAGTAGAAAATACTACTCAGCATCATGAATATAGACATAAGCTGCACAGAACTGTTCAAGACCTGGAAAGAGCAGCAGAGGGACATCTTAACCACTTACCATGACAAGATTTACTAACGAAACTGCATTCAAGCTGATGCCCCAGAGCCACATCACTCCAAACATGTTGATGATTATCATAGCGATAGTTACTGAAACTATAAGAGCAGCCCATACTTCAAAACCCAGCAGCACAGTTGTCACCAAAAATATTGATCCCAAGGAGATGCAGAGGTTAAAGATAGCGTCATGCACAATTGTCAGGTACTGTTCATAGAAGACATAAAACACACTGTGGAAAGAACAGAGTTGCAGTTAGCCATCTTCCTCGTTATATGCTAACAGATTAGCTTCTGTGCTAAGGATAAAGCAGTTCTCTCCTTACAGAAGTCAACAGGAACTGGCTTCCTAGCATCAGTGGAACGACTCCTGTGAAACACTGGCTGTTATATGACAACTCCTCACTAACGCTTCAAGTAAAGGTTGTATCTGGAAGTCAGGGTAATTCCCACACTTCAACATAAGCAGCTACAGTAGTTGCCAGGAGGCAGTTCCTCAGACTGACTGTGGTACCTGCAGGAACTACTGCAGAGGGTCTGAACTGATTAATTATGCAGCAAGACCGTAAGGATGGATAGGATTCTTTTAAGCGAAGAGATGAGTATTTCAGCTGTACAGGTATCAATTCCAACTCCCTTTCATTACAGTACTCTTATACAGAGTCTTTAGCATGTTAATCATGCAAGCATTAGACAAGCAGTAATTGACATCACTGCTGCCTTTGCTTTGAGATTGAATAACTTAAGTTTGAAGTCAGTACATTCCCATTACAGCTTGCAACGATCCAGGTCAACATACCTGCTTAAGCTAGAACTATTAAACCCCACTATAAAAGCTAAGAAGTGCCCAAGCTGAAGCCAGAGCTACCTTTATGGTAAACGACAGGTTTCTCAGGTTCCTTGATTTAAGTTATTTATCAACCACAGTACAGAGAAGTTAGTGCTGTGGATGCAAGCTGTATCTTAGTGGTTTTACTAGGCATTCCAGAGTCTCTGTATTACCTCCTGTTAGCCAAAACTCAAGACCCAAGTCTAAGATGTTATTAACCAGTACCTTTTCTCGGTTCCTCAAGCTGAGTATTTGTCACTAAGGCAAGAAAGATCTAAGCATACCTGTAAGGAAACACTCGGTAGTTCTTCTCTTTGATGCCCATGGTTTCAGTAATGTTATCTGCTATCACCCGAGCTTTCTTCATAGCATCAATAAAATCAGATGATGTTTTCAGTACCGTATGGTAAGTCATAAAATAAGTAGCTCCAACATCAGATTTGTTGTTTATGAAGTTGACAGCAGAGTTATATGCAGCATGTCCTCTATATAAACATAGCAACATTTTAGATGTCAGTGAGCACCATTCAAATTTATTAGCTTTTATTACTTATAATCTTGTTTCTAATAGTTTCCAAAACTGATAAAAGCTTCAGAGCACAATACATTTCAAGATTGCACAGGGTACACTAGAACCGACTGACTATAGAAGTTGTTTCTCTTTGTACAGAGGAAAGCTGCTGTTCCATTCCATTGATGATATATTTGTTTTCCCAGTTTTGTTT